TGATATTGAAGATGAATTTCATTTTATATCAAATGCCCATTTTATGATAGTGTAAGATGATATGATGAGCCTTTGGCTTAAAGAAAACAAAACAAACTTATATAGATGATGAGAAACTAAATATTGGACTAAATTCTTGCATGATATGTTTTCTATAATTGAAAATATTTCAATGAAACTAAATAAACTGGCAATTGTGCATCATGTAACATTATAAAATGTGTAAAATGATATAAATGCTCGTACCTGCAGTTCCTGAATACCCCGACACAATGAGTTTGTATTGACATATTTATCTCCGATATGAAATGTAGAATACTGAGCATATGCTTCAGCGCCATTAAATCTTTGTAGTTCAATCCGGAGTTCCTGGTCCTTGTTCTTTGTCAGTTCAAAGATTACGTCATTTCCTTTTATTAAAAGATGTAACAGTGCACAGTTATATTTTTGAATTTTAAAGTGTAGTTTAATATCTGCTTCAGTTCACCGTGTTCTTGAAAAAAAGGTCTTTGTCATCGAGAGATCTCAAATTTCAAATTGTCGTATTTAATATAAGTTCCTATACTTAATTCAGGCATCACGTGAATAAATATTTTCCTTTCAGAGGTTTGCATTAATCATTATTTTGTATTTAAAACAAGAAACATAATCTTTCACACAAATTCCAAACTGCTTGTTGAATGGAATGCGTTCACTAAGGTTATGATTTTATACTAAATTTCTAATCAAGAGAAAGAATTTCACTTCGAAATTTATTAATGGGTCTCTTGCATTATAAACCAAAAGTTTCATCATACTGAGAACATTTAATGTTTCAAAAATAAGAGATTATAAAGTATAATTCTATCTAGGAATTCTTTTGTTTATTTGTGGAAAAGCTTTTCCTTTTCCATAAAAAATATATTCCTTTTAAGGATATTACAAACTTTAAAAATAGAGACATTTTTATCGGCTCTATTTTAAAGCAAAAATTTTTTACGTCGATTCTCCTGAAACACAGATTAATTATATTATATTAAAATACAGATGGGCTACTGATTTACATGCACAGATCAAGGAAGATTTCCAGAGGGCAGGGGTCTTGAGGAAAAGGGTGAAAAAAAACTAACAAGGATTTTTTTTAATTTGATAAACTACGTAAGATTAGAAAATTTTCGTTACACCTTATTTTTGCGTGATTTTTATTAATTCTTTAAAAGCGAGAAAAAATTCTCATGAATTGTGGTTATTGCTCTATAAAATCTTAAGAAAAACTAAATTGAATAAATAGAGTTTTCGCCAAACCACTGTCTAATTTACGAGGACTAATTAAAGAATTATAATTCTAGAATTAAATATATCATTATAAAAATAAAGTTGATATCGTTTTGTGTTCAGTTTCATGCCCAATGAAACATAAATTAATTATTTTACCTGTAAAAATTAAATTATTCATTTCAATAGAGGAATTTAAATTCTTTGTTTTTGTTTTAAATATCGATGGAACAAGCGTCGCATTCTAAAACACACTGACATGAATGTAAAGAGCGCAAACGATTTGCTTTAGGGTAAATGCACTGTGAGTAGATAAGGAAAATTTCTAAGAGTATGGATAGAGACCTTAAAATGTCAATTTGATTTTGTACACACATTTAAAGAGATATTTTATATTCAAGGGTGACATAAAATAATCTTACTAATCCAGTAGTTTATAGAGGGATCCCCAAATCCTTGTTTATATTCCGACACTATATTTAGAGAAACACCTTACACTGTAAATGTTACATATTTAACTTAACTTACCAATCCAGTAGTTTTTAGAGGGATCCCCAAAGCCTTGTTTATATTCTGACCATGTCCTGTAAAAGTCTGTAGACCCGTCCTGTCTTCTTTGTATTGCCTGAAACATTTAAGAAGGTTGTCTCATAGATCTGCTCTGACATGAAGCAGGTTTCATTCACAAACGCTGGCATGCGTCATCAAAGAAGATGTTCCTCTTACATGTATTAAGTTTTATTTTACATGCTCTTTGTTGACAAGAACTAATTTCAGTCTTTATCCCTCACCGTCCATCCCCCTCCGTCTGTTGTCATGTCACAATACACTTTCTTCTTCCCTTTTCCATCCGGATAAATTGTATATACACCATCTTTTCCTTTCCGACCTGGGTTTTTCTTTAGTATGGCTACACAATCTTTGTATCTATTGACTGAAAGCAAGTCTAAATACTGTAAATCACATAACTGATATTTCTTCAAGCTGGAAAATTATTGAGTACTATTATATGTCTTGCGAGAAAAAGATGTTAATAAGGAATTTATGTTATGGCACGACAGAATAAAAATAAATTGTTCCACTGATGAAGATGGAATATAAGCACCTACCTGTGGTACACAACAAAATATACAACTTTAAAAGAACATTTTTTTCATACAGTATAAAAAAGCTGCAGATTTTTTTCCTAATAATAGTTTTTTTTAACATGATAGCCTATATATAACTTCGTATGTTTTGCATTTTACTATGCATTAAAACTCTATCATGATTTTTTGTTATGTACTTAGTATCAAGTTATATCATGACTAAAATCTTTAACCTAATTATTTTTTTTCATTACTGAACTACCGTGTCTAATTGCCTGTTTATGACCAGGTATCTGAATCACCTCAATAATCACCTGGTGTGGGTGCTAGCTAGCCTGTATTCACCTACTACCGTTGGTGACACAATGCACTTAAATAAACATCCAATGTTTAGTTACTTGTTAATTAAACTTAAAAGGCAGGTTTTAATGCTGAATATCTATTTGGTCCTCAAAAGCCCTTAGCATGAAATGACATCGGGATCGACCTCGAACGTCTTTTTTCAAAATGGCGCTCGATCACTGGACGGACAAAAACGTGATGTATATGTTTTAGATTTTAATGTTTATTCAATAAGTATCAAAGAGTAAGTAAAAATATTTATAATCTAATGTTGTTTTATTCGCATTATATAATTATTAAATGAAATAAAAGTATGTCTGTAGTTGTTTTGAACCAATGACTTGGCATGCCTGACTGAAATCGAGAGAGTAGGAATCGGAAATTATGTTGTCGTTAAATTCAGGTGAAATTGCTTGAAATTACATAAAAAGGTCAGGAAATTCAAGGTCTTTGGTCGCGTTAGATAGGTGGTCGTTTAATACAGGTAAAATATATAGGGAAAAGCATTGGGGGATTTTTACGGTCACATGTGACAGTGAGTCGCTTAATACAGTGGGTGGCTATGGCAGTTTTGACTGTATGTGTACCAAATTTGGATATAATATGAAGCGAAATAAAAAAGTTAGGACAAAAGTGTACGAACTTTTTGAATGCCCCTCATATGTAGAGACAACATCCATTTTCAAGGAAAAGGATGCACGGCCTTTATTATAACATTGGATCCAATCAGCTTCCAAGACCAGCCAGAACTCTGCAGATGTTGATAAAGTTGTGCTACAATTTTTGCAAGACATATTTTAAAAATCATTTTTTAAAAAAAAAGTCATTGGTTATTTAATAAGAATAATTTAATTAATCAGGATTCGAATGTTTGTATTTTGTATTTTAAGGTGAAATAAATCTTTTTAAAATCCTCATTTTTTTTAGCAACATCACACACAAAACTCATAAGATTAAGATTTAGACAAACCTTTTCACTCACTACACAGGAAATAATTCCCCTACGTTACTCAGCAGTCAATTTTATCTTAAAAGATTCCTTATTTAACTAAGTACTGCATAAAAAGCGCTTGATTATTAAATCTATATTGTTTTCAAAATTAATAGATATTTATTAATTTAGAGGGACGTTAAACAACATACGAGGGCTGTTCACTAAATAATGACCTCGGTACTTAGAGAGTAGCAAAAGACGCTTTTAAATGATTTAGTCTTCATCTGATTTTTTTATTTATCTCTTTTAAATAAAACATATGTCCGTAACTTTTTTATCCAATTTCTGATTGTTTTGAGAACTCATTTTTGGGTATGACCTTTACTGGAAAACGGCAGATCCAATGATTTCCTGGACTTGTTTCTTCCTTCTGAAAGGTGTTTTTTCAAGTTTTGGAAATAGAAGCAAGTCAAAAGGTAAAAGATCTGGCGGATATTGTTAATGTGAAAAAAAACATTAACCTTCTGTTTATCCCGAAACCCCTTTACTCTTCAGGGCATGCGGGTTTGGACGCTGTCGAAAAAAAAATGCCACAACTCATGGGTATTAAAATATTAGCATATGAAAAAGCATGATACGGCATCGGGCGACATAACACTCCAGGTCTTTTCTGTCACCGAGGGACAAATATTCTGGTATTACTCCCCGAGAATTAATCCAACTTATACTCATAGTTTCCATTATAAGGCAGAAATTTAAAATCGTATGTCAATTTTGAATATCTTTAATACCCTCCACCCCCACCCCCCAACACACACAAAAACCAAAATGATTTGGAACTACCAAAACTACATAAGAATCATTACAAACAAAGATACATTGCAGGTTCCTGTAAATGTTCAACTAGGTCTCTTTCTTTACTCCTCGCTAAGATATTAACAGTAGAGTTTTTTGGTTCTAATGGTCCAACGGTGGTTATTGACTCTCCTGCGGAGATTTCCTGTTTCACCAACATACTGCTTGGAGCAAACTTTGCAACTGATGAGATAAATGCAGTTGTCAGTATGTCAATAACCACCGTTCGACCATTAGAACCAAAAAACTCAAAGAACCTGTCGGGGAACATTTCAACCTTGAGGGTCACAAATGGGAAGACATGACAGTAGTGGTGATTGACCATAACCCAAGATGGACAGACGCTCAAAGAAAAAGCAAGGAAAAGTTCTGGATGCACAGACTGAAGTCATTCCGCCCTAATGGCATTTAGTTAACAAACTGAATGACTTCACCAGAATGAACGTAAACTAGACCCAATTCCTGAAGATACTAAACAGGATTATTCTCTGGATTGAGTGTAACTCTACAGTTAATTTTAACCACCAACTCTCGAACAACCCACATAACTATGAATTGTTTGCCCCTTTGTTAATTTATTTTTTCCCCATAATATGTCCTAAATAATTTAGATTTATAATAGATCATAATTCATATTTTAAAATATCCCTGCTGTATCATTCTTTTTGATTATTCTTTATCAAGTATAGTTATGCCATATTGAGAGAATGAAACAATGTACGATTTACTGATTGTCGTAATTAATTAGCATAATTAATTCGTTCAATTACGTAAATCGCACTTCACCCGAGTATACCCGATAGACCGCACGTATTTCATGGCGCTCCGGATTTATTTCTTTAATTATAGTGTTCTTAAAAATTTCTTTAAAGTCCTATAATATTTCAAAATTCAAAATTTATAATAGATCATAATTCATATTTTAAAATACCGCTGCTGTATTATTTTTCTTTGATTATTCCTTATCAAGTATAGTAACGCCATATTGAGAGAATGAAACAATGTACGATTTACTGATTGTCGTGATTAATTAGCATAATTAATTCGTTCCATTATGTAAATCGCACTTCACCCGAGCATACCCGATAGACCGGACGCATTTCTTAGCGGTCCGGATTTCTTTCTTAATAGTGTTCATAAAAATTTCCAATTCAACATGTGATGTATGTAAATATATAGTGTTTAGTAGCTTAGTAGTAGTGCTAGTTGTTCTTTGTTTGTTTCTTCTTTTTTTCCCTTTGTTCTTATGACTTTTTAACTTTTTTCTTTGTCCTGAGGAAGGGACAGGTCGTCCCGAAAATTTGACAATTTTTATTGTTCGTGTCGTTGGTCATTTTAGTGCTTTATATATTTTCTCCTTTATTTCTTAAGAAAGCCCATTTAGGCATTTCAACTAATTTTTCAAGTTGCACATATGGTAAAAAACATTGTATAGATAGATTTATAGGTACATGAAATTATCAAAAAAGATAATAACTTATGCATACTTTTAATTACATCATTAAAAATTTTAATTATTTATAATTGACTTTTCCGATGTTGTGTTTAAGGACAAGTAACTCAGGTGTGAAAAATGACCAACTTAGTGCCGATTTATGAGTTATCGTTTATAGGAATGTCATATAGGCTGCTCAAAAGGGTTCTTTACATTGTTTTGTACACAAAAAAGTCTTAACCAAGAGAAAGAGAATGCCTTCACTCTACCTGAAATAACAAGGTCAAATGAAAGGGGAACAGACTATATTCAATAGTTTTAACTCTCTTTGACGATTATTATGAAGAAGAAAATTTAATGTCATGTTTTTTTGTGTTCTCACTTTTTCGCTTCCTGTGTAAATATATATATTTTTACAAGTAAATGCAACAATTGATCATCTTATTTGTGTTACTAAGCACGAAGGGAACCACCGAGTATAAATATTTAATTAGGTTAGAACTGAGAAGGAGGGTAGATTTCACTTTTTATTTTAATTAAAAATTTTTATTATATGCAGGAAACCGGTGTCCGCAACTACACAGTAAATAAGTTTAACGTTGGTGCTAAATTTTAAAACCACTGGATTCTACTGAGAGCAAAGAAACACTGGGAATGCTAAAAAACTGCCTTGCGTGTAAACAGTTAGATACCCCGAGCCTTATATTTTACAACGTCTTTTACAAACAGTAAGTAAGGATTAAGTCCTTTTATCGTAAGCATGAAAGTCAAAATATTTCTAAATTGTCGTTTAAGACATTTTTGGCTTTACCTATCTAACCTGTAGGAAGTGGTCGGGGATATATGAGTCAGGGATTTTATATTTTCTTCTATATACTATACGAGGGTTGTCCCGTAAAATCGTGGACAAGTTGTATAGTTTGAAAATTAATCATCACTGCGTTCTGAAATTTTCACTACTCTTTAGTACTTATAAAATGAATATATGTAGCAAATTTCAAATAAATATATGCATAAATAAATAAATTTTGATATTTTATGTTATGTACTGTATCGCCCTACGGAGCACGGATTATAACGTCAAGTTGTCTAAAACAACGTCACCTTTCATGTTTGCTAAAAATTAAGTTGGATAAGCCCCACTTAAATTTAGAAATTTTACTGATTTACATACGTGAGTTAAGTTAAGGAAACAATGTGGCACACTCGTGAGATCTACTGAAGATTTATTAGCAAGTTACGGACAGTATTCTCACCATCATTCAACTAACAGAGAATCTCA